AAAAAAAAAAAAAAAAATTGTTTAAGCATCCAGAATGTCCCAACCAATTTTGTGTCCTTGCCTCTAGTGACCCATGTTTTTCTGTGGCTGTAAGCAGCATAGCATGGGTCAAGCTTGATGTGTTCCTGTCCTGTGCTGCTCTTAGTCCCAGCATGCTCACTTTGGTGGTGGCTTGTTGCTTGTGGACAAATCTGGATCTCTAGCAGCAGTAGCTGGGGGATCCTCATCTTCCTGACTCAATCTCAGTCTCTGGGATGCTAACAAAGAGGAGTGAGCTAACTGTGCAAAGATTTAGCATCACCCCCTCCTCTTCTGCCAAAGGAAAAATGCTGGAAAAACGCTTTTACCAGTATTAGGCCCTGCTTTAGGGAAAGCTGGTGGTATCACTGCTCCCCCAGTGATGTCTAACCTCCATGCAGTTGTCATCCTTCCCCTCCCTTGACCAGCAGAGTTTAACTTGGCTTTTGCGCTCCTTCTCAGTAGTTACTCCTCTACCTTGTCTAATCATGCCTTTGTAAGTGAGGTTCTGTAGGGGGAGGTACAACTACTTAGCCCTAAAGGGGGAAGAAGTGGGAAGCCATAAACACATGCCTTGGTTTAACACAAGGGCTTGTGCACACATGAGTCTTTAACTGGAAGAACTGATTCCTCCATATAGAAAAGCAGTTCTTATTTTGGGGTGGGGGTGGAAATAGCTTCTTAAACTTTATGAACTGAATGTCTCTCTCTCTCCTCTAGCTAGTATCCACTATACTATTTTAAACTGCTGTTTTAAAATTAAAACAAAGGCACGTTTGAACCCTACTCCCACAACTAGAATGGTGTCTGTATGTGTGTAAGTTACTCCAGAGGCGTATTGCCTAACCACTGCAGAGCAATTTTCTCTCCTTGCATTTGCTATGCAGAAAGGCATATTTAAAAGGACACCAAACCCCCCGCCATAGGAAGAGCACCTCCCTTTGTGGCTCAGAGGTGGGCAAAGCAGTTGGGTATGTCCTGTTTACTCAAATTTTGTTGGGATATACACAGTAATCATATTGCCACCCTGTTAGCATGCTTCCCAGATTGCAATAATGAATTCCTGCTTATCCTTTTACTTGCAGACAGATGGTCTGCTGGAACTTAGAAGGTACCAAAATTTTGTGCAGCAGCACGTAGGGGTTGCCAGCTCAACTGGTAAACCAAATTTTCCACAGTTATATTGTTATCTGTTTATTGTCTGGACATTTCAATGTGTGTAGGCTGTTATAAGTTGTTGGCTTTGGGCTATAATAAAAAATTCAGTTACTCAATCTTTTGTAATTTGTTCCAGAGGGTCAGGCTTTTTTATTTTGTCTGTTAATGCTTCTATATCAAGATAATAAGGTTTTGTGCATGATATTAATTTATTCAGATATCTCTCCCCCCCAACTCCCACCCCCACTACTTCCTGCATTAAAAGCATCTATTAGTTAATAAGATTCCCAGCTCTCAATGGGATAGGAAGTCAATGCAGAATTCATTATGCTTTTCTTCTCTTAACTTGCAAATGGTTTTTCTCTTACCTTGGGAGGAACTGAAGAATGTCCATGTCATGTACGTTTCAGACAACAACAACATGAGAGAGTAATTTTGCACATGGCTGATACTTTAAGCCAAGATTCAGATTAAGAATGTTATAGGAAATTGCTGGATATGGTTTCATTATTTGCTTCATGCAGTTTTGCTAGATATGTATTATTTGTTTGTTTTCTAATACATAACACTTTGTGGATAACAAAATAGAACTGATAAACAGTTTAACTATGTGGCAGCATAGTTGATACAGCATCTATGCACCCATTGAATGTTTTATTTAAGTCTTAGCTCAAGCATAGATGTGGGGAAGAGAATATCCAGTGAAATTACTAAAATCAACATAGAACTTTCATTTTTCATCATAAGGAGAATTTCAATGTGTTTATCTTTAATTATACATAGGCAAACAGGAATCAGGTCTGTTGAAAATCCTAAGAGGGAAATATTTTTTGCTTGGTGTAATTTCAATTCTAGTTTAGCTAGTTTGGAGATTTGTATAAATTTGCTGCTACTTTCAAGAGAGATCCAGCATGCCAGTTCAGTTCTTTGGCCAGCAAACAAATATAATATATTTGCTTCTACCTTTGTTTATTTTTTTCCCTTCAATTTCAGAGTTTGAAAGCGGCATGGCTGAAAATGAGGTCCCACCTCCTTTGCCTCCACATCCTAGTGAGAAGCTGTTCACAGATTATAATCATAGGTCTGAAGATGTTTACTATTTCTGATTTCATATCTAGTGATAGCAATGCATTTCCTTCATGTTATGTGAAAAATAGTTTTGCTTTTGCAAATAGTGCACCAAAACATGTGTTCCAATGTTCATCTTTCTTAATCTTCCAAATTTATTATGAATTAATTTTTTTCTTACTTACACTCACAGCACTTAGATATAATTATCCCCACTGGGTAGGAAGAAACTGAGGCCAGTCAAAGCTGAATTGTTAAATTTCCAAAGTTTAAACCCAACCAATGTATCTATTGAATTGCATGGCTCATTGTAGTAATTGTTTTTACTACTAGTAATTGTTTCCACCTATAAAAATTAGTACAAGTTTTCATTTGGGGGCATTTTGCAATTTTATATTTCATTGAGTATTGGGGGGGGGCGTTCTTATGTTCATATGGGATTTGCAGTTTCATTAAATGGAACTGTCCCTTTTTAGAGCAATTGCCTCTCTCTCATCCTTACTATCCACTGTGATTATAATTAAGGAGATTCTTTATCAACATTCTGAATAGGATTGGAAACTGGTTAAAAAAATTGGTTATGTTGCAAACCTGATTGAATCAAACAACATATAAGATGAAAGGACTGGGGAGCCTGCATGCAGCGTTATGTGCAATTTCTCACCAGAGCTCTCCTTATCACATGTTCTGCATTTCTAATTGGCAAGATACTTCAAAATCTCCCGTTTTTATCCAGTTTCCCTCTTCCCTGAGAAGGAATTGACTAGAGACTTGCAGTGTTTCTTTGAGACAGAGTTTATGTGCATATAATTCACACAAATCTAGACGACTCAACATCAGTGAAATTTCGGTATGGAAATTTTTGGAAATATGTAATTTTCAGCATACAGTATTAATTATTTTTAAATTTAAACTTAGACTTAAGTCTAAGACTATCATGGATCAAATACTGACTGGAATCTAATAATACTCTTCCAGTGATTGAAATCTTCCATTAGCAGAATCAAAAGAGGCCAGTCGGTCCTTCCCAATAGAGTTTTTCATTGGCCCTCCAAATCTGGTCAGAAGGATTGGAGTACTCTTTTTTGGCAAAGTTTGGGAGCAGAGCTAAAGGTAGAGGGATTCTGTGAAAAGGCATATGTTTACATTACATTAGACCATGCCTTTGATCTTTTCAGTTGAATGGTGAAATGATTACCTTAGGTCTTGATTTCCATGCAAAGCATTTTGCTTCTCAACAGCATATTCACATTTTCAATCTTAAGCATGAATATATTATAGAGCATCTAGGAGTTTTATCTAATTGGAAACAAATTAAGAACCTGATGATATATGTATTAGATGATAGCATACTTTTTCTTTGTTTTAATACTTAAATTAATGCACTTTGTTTAATATGCCTTATTAGTGACTGAATTAATGACAAAGTGGGCAAACAAGGTAAAAACCAATACCTTTGGGTCAAGTGATTGTTACCCAAAGTAAATTTAGATTTAATGTAGGCAATAACTCATGCAAAAAACTTGCATGACTTACAATAGCTGAGGAGGGGAAATGCATTATATGGTATAGAGTTTAATTACTACATTTGATTTTGAGCCAGTTCTTCTGGTTCCCCACCCCACCCCATAACCTTGGTATGATTTCTTTCTTTCAACAGCATAGTAGCAGATTCAGAAGCTTTTTTGCCAAATCAGCACATCAGCTTCAGATCTTTGACACTGGCCAAGCAGACAGAAACGATTAATCTGAAAGCCTCCAAGAGTATGGACCTTGGTAAGGAGTGGTCACTAGACTTTTAGCTTCACTGTATTGTTTTCTTTCTTTAGCTTCAGTTCCCTTGTTTTCTTTCTTAAGTACATCTAATTCAGAGGAAGAATTATTATGAGAGGCCAAATTTGGCTGAAATTCGAAGGAAAAAAATCTATCTTTGCAGTACTTTGTTGTTGTCTAGATACAAATGTATATAACTGTAGAGACTGAATGAGGTCACATATTATACTAAATTATAATATGAATTGTTTGATTTATTCTTTGGTGCAATGTTTGAACCCACTATTTGGTTTATCTAGTAATCTGTGAACCAAGGCATTCTACTCTTAATGACTGATAAAAGCACCTTACTTTGTTAATGCAGATTTTAAATGTGTCTATATACATAAATATTGAAAAGCCCAGTAACTCAGATATCTTATTCATTGTGATGCCATAGAACATTTTGCTTCTCCATTTAAAATATTGTCTAGGAAATGGGAGAAAAGAAATATGCTAATGATATACACTGTAGGCCATGAGTAGCATCTTTAATACAATAATAATAATAATGCACATACAAGAAAATTGGGATAAGATTGTAATTCAGGAAAGTTGCCAAGTTTCTCTGTCACTGTTGACTTAAGCTGATAGAGGAGGCTCCTTCTAGCCATTTAGGGTTACTATTAAAATAGGAAGCCATTTCCCAATCAACAGTAAAATAATAATAACAACAACAACTGTTCAGCTCCCTTTTAAAGGCACATTACTGGTGTCAACCTTGTGCCTTGCTAGCAGTCAGAGCTGTGCAGAATGTATTGAACTGTGGTAGAAAATAATTTCCACACTCTTGGCACAGCATATAACAATTTCATCTGAAATTGCTTTCTCTGAAGAAAGGTGACAGATCTTTTGTGCTCAGTTACTGCACAGGTGGGTATTTCAGCTTGGTAGCCCGTCAGCATCTGTCTTGCAATTGAGCACGTCATACGTATTGCTAACCTCAGAGCTTGGTGCCTTCGGTGTCAGTTGGAAATTGTCCTAATGCAGAGAATATGTTAATGTGAAGATGAGGCATAGCTGAAAGTATGGCTTCTGGGTTTGAGTTTACAGAATGTTTAGACAGTTTCTGCAAGTGGCAGAGATGTTACAGAAATGATATGGGCAACACGGTTTTCCACAATACATGAAATTGCTCAAATTGCAGGATAGAAATCACTCTGATTCAATATTGTGATGAAAGTGGGTGGCTGCTTACTGTGTAATTGTTACACTAATACATTCCCGTGTGATAGCTTTACTTACATGAAGAGCTTATGGTCTGTTGGTTCCAGTGCCAACTGTGCCTTAGCAAGCTTTCCATTCACTATATAGGTATTGCTTCCAGTAATCAAAGCTTTCAGAGAACATGAATTGAAGATGCTTGATTATAAAGAAAGAAAAGCTATTTTCCTCCACAATTTAGGACTTTAAACGACAGAGCTAAGTGTACATCCTTATTTTGCTGCTCAACAGGTCTAAAGATAAATACTAAACAAGAAAATAATAGACAGTTCAGAGTAGTTGGCCTATCTGCAAAAGATCTTTTAGATTTTCAAAACCATTTACAAAGTATTTACCTGAGGTATATAATGTTCTTTTTTGTCCATTTCCTTGAATTTTATGTATGCAAATTTTAAAAAAACAAAAATTTGCATCCCAGGAACTTAAAGAGAAGAATAATTTGAACATTTAGAGAGAGAATATATATTTACTTTCCCTCCCAATAAAATGTCTGCTCTTCTAATATATCTACTGTGATAAATAAGCAGCCAAATTGACTCATGATGTAAATATCTCATACAAAAAGGGTGATGAATGGCCCAAAGTCACCCATGAGCTTCCAGGCATGAGGTGGAGTTGATGTTGGGTCCTCCAGACACTATATCACACTGGCTATCTAACATACAACAGGAGAAGCTGCAAGGCCTTCTCGTGTATGTACAGTCCTTTTTTAATTGGGTAGAAAACTATGGCAAAACTCTCATGAGGGTTAATTTTGCCTATTTTTTTATATTATATTTTGCTAGATAAAGTGTTTGGATAAATACTTTGTTTCCCCAACCTTATAGAAAGTCAGGATATACATATTTTTAAAAATCTGGAAAAGCACCTATATGGACTTACTTAAAACAAGGCTGCTATTATTTAGTAAAACATGGCTTTCATCTTCTGCAGTTCTTCAGAAATGTGGGTCCTGTCTGGAGAGGAAAAAAGGAAGGGAGGGAGGGAATAATTTTAGTAAAGGTCCTTTTAATGTATGAGGTTTCGTTTTTTATATTTTTTGTTGACAGTAACTCTCAAGCTCAGTTTCAGAGCATCTGGGATAGCACCATCATCCTTTCCTTACATCAGATATAAACCTGTCACTGAAAAGTGGTTCTGTGTTTTCCTATAAATCCAATGTCAATTCCTTTTTGGAACTTCAAGGTAGAAATGGTTGTGCAATGAAAGTCAGCAGGCTTTTCAAAACTATTTCTCTGATACTGAGAATTTTTCAGGTGAGGAATAGGACAAAACAAAGGAAATACAATCAAGTATTTGTCTACCAGCATGTTTCTAATATGCTGGAAAAGCGAGAGGACCACTACTTTTAAATGTTTTCTCTCCCACAATTTAAACTACCCTAATGGAAAGCCAGTTGCTAGTTATGTGCAAGCAGCATTCTTGGTTTTTAAATGTGGCACTTCTGCCAAAATGATTGCTTCTTTTTCTTTACTAGGTCCTTGCCTCCATTTTCAGAGTTTCTTGTTGCAATTAATGAGCTTGCAATTAAAACTTGATATTTCTAATTAAATTCTGTTTTAATTAATTTTATTTAATTAAAGAGGGGGTTTTTGGAGAAGATAGGTGCTCTTGTACTACTGAATGTAATAAGAAAACACCTGTTTTCATTCTAATTTCATTCTATTAGCAAACGTGGAGTGAGAAAAAGATAAATTTAATATTTCAGCATCAGGGAAACACAGTTTAGTACTGTTAACCAGACTGAATGGCCTTGTCATCTCATACATGGTGATTTGCCTCTTCTTTTCCTGATGAAACTACTTTTGATGTAAGAGTTAGGGGACTATACCCTTGGAATGTGGTACTACCCAGAAGTATATCCCCATGAATATGTCCCACATATGCAATTGTGTGGTGAAATACGTGCCAAAGGGTAAAGGTTTCCTCATTCTTGAGCATTTGAGCAACCCATGCTTAATTGATCAATATGTGACTGGTCTACATCACTACAGAAGAAAATTTGTGATGATTTTTTCATTATTAAACATAACAAAATAAAATGTGCATGAGATAAAAGTTTGCCTAGCTCTTCTCAATTGATCTTTACTTTTCAGTTTGGAAGAAATTTTTAGGTTGAAGAACATTCAATCACCTGTCCCCTATTTTTAACATCCAGTTTGAGATTATTATCCATCTTGGTCATAATTAGGCTCTCAATCTTGCCTGATTTATAGGGATAGGTTTCTGAGAGTTCTGCATCCAGCCTGCATCCTCAGTTGATCAAAGATGTCCTCATAATTGTTGCTTCTACTCTAAATTCTTTTGAGTCCAAAATAAAAAAGGCATTTAAGTACTAGATTTCCTGTCCAGAAATACAGTGGGGCAAAAAAGTATTTAGTCAGCCACCAATTGTGCAAGTTCTCCCACTTAAAAAGATGAGAGAGGGTGATTTTCTGGATTTTTTCCCCCATTTTGTCTCTCATAGTTGAGGTATACCTATGATGAAAATTACAGGCCTCTCTCATCTTTTTAAGTGGGAGAACTTGCACAATTGGTGGCTGACTAAATACTTTTTTGCCCCACTGGCCTCTCTCATCTTTTTAAGTGGGAGAACTTGCACAATTGGTGGCTGACTAAATACTTTTTTGCCCCACTGGCCTCTCTCATCTTTTTAAGTGGGAGAACTTGCACAATTGGTGGCTGACTAAATACTTTTTTGCCCCACTGGCCTCTCTCATCTTTTTAAGTGGGAGAACTTGCACAATTGGTGGCTGACTAAATACTTTTTTGCCCCACTGGCCTCTCTCATCTTTTTAAGTGGGAGAACTTGCACAATTGGTGGCTGACTAAATACTTTTTTGCCCCACTGGCCTCTCTCATCTTTTTAAGTGGGAGAACTTGCACAATTGGTGGCTGACTAAATACTTTTTTGCCCCACTGGCCTCTCTCATCTTTTTAAGTGGGAGAACTTGCACAATTGGTGGCTGACTAAATACTTTTTTGCCCCACTGGCCTCTCTCATCTTTTTAAGTGGGAGAACTTGCACAATTGGTGGCTGACTAAATACTTTTTTGCCCCACTGGCCTCTCTCATCTTTTTAAGTGGGAGAACTTGCACAATTGGTGGCTGACTAAATACTTTTTTGCCCCACTGGCCTCTCTCATCTTTTTAAGTGGGAGAACTTGCACAATTGGTGGCTGACTAAATACTTTTTTGCCCCACTGTACCAGCTGGATTACAAACTTGGTTGTAAAAGAAAGGCAATTCACGTGTTTCATTTATATTTTTATTTGACATATTTTAGCTCATTTTCTTATAATTCATTTAAAACAATTAACAGCTTAATTAAAAATATAATTTAAATGCAATCTACATTTAAAAAGCATAATTGAAATAGAATAATGAATCTATTTAAAGTATCCCTCAGTCAGAAGGGTGAGAACCAGTTAGATCATCAACTAAATAAAGCCAGCAAATGCTGGAAGAAAAGCTAAATCTTTAGCTTGTATCTGAAAAGTTTCAGGTGGCAAGAAATTCCAGAAAATGGGAGCAGCTGCTGAAATGGGAGCAGCCAGCTTCTGCATGGTTACTGACTGGCTTCACAGAAGAGGTGGGAACTCAAAGGGAAGCCACTCAAGCTGTACTTGCAGACCTGGCAGATTCATATGGGAGCAGATGGTCTTTTTGGCATTTTGTCCCAAGATGCTTAAGGATTTTAAAATTAAAACAAAAGCAAAAAACAAATCATGTGCTGAGAT